CGGCCGGCGGGCGTGGCGTGAGGGGGTCGTGCCTCCGCCGCCGCGAGCTTTGGTGCAAGTCTTGTCGCGTATTAGTTTTATTCTTTTTGTACGCATCAGGTGCCAACTATGTAACATAAAAAGTTATGTTACTTCACTCTGAGAGGTTTCTATACTTCAGCAGTGCGCACTGTGCGTCAAATAAGTGTCCTTACAAAAAATCTTTCAGACTTAGGACCTACTCTCTAGATTTTTGCGTTCAATCATCATACTTCTTGACTTTTTTGGACTATTTTGCCCCCGTTAATTGTCTGCTGAGAAGGGGGGGGGGGCTAAGGAGGTCGCGACACTCGGCCCCAAGCGACGACTCGGACGCACATCCCAGTTGTGAGGAAGGGGTGGGTTGTTTCCTGGCGGAAGTCGCTAAAAGACCCCTCCCCACCCCCCATCTCCCCTGTTTCTCTCTCACCCTTTTCCTCGACCCATGGCCCCCCGGCGTTTGTCCGCGAGGCGGCAGCAGAGCAGAGGCAGGTCCCTGCAAGCGCGCGGTGTTCATGGTGGTGGGTGAAAGAGGACCGCTGGCTGATTTCATTTAGATAAATTCATTCGGATTGGCTGGTCCTCGTGTCCCTCCCCACATCTTTCCGCTGCTCAGGTTCATCCCCTCTGTGTGTGTGTGTGTAAGGGGGGGGGGCTGTCCGTAGTGGCCCTGCTGTCGCCCCGTCATGAGTCTCGTAGACTTGTCCCGCTGCCTTCCAGGGTTTTACTGCAGTCCGTCTGGTGGATTAGTGAGGGGCGGTGGACGGACCGTCCCTCGGACTGTCCGCCCGACACTCAGCGCCGTCAGTGCTTCTCTAATAACCGTAAAGCTCCCCCAGTGAGGCGCCCGACCGATGCAGGCCGCACTGACCGCATGTCAGCCGAGCATATAGCTGCCGGAACTACACGATGACACTCGCGGGGAAAAGCGCGGGGGTTTCCCCACGATTCCCGCCGTTTTTTGTGGAAGCATTTTGACATCTTGTTATGGGAACACGTGAACATTGACGTGCTCTTGAAAAGCACCGAGAACAGTGCACGGTAGAAAGAACATCCTGGAATTCAAGTAGATTCCTTGAAAACTGTCTTGAAAACTAAGTAGATCGCTTCAAATTCAAGATGTCATTTTTACCGTGTGAAACAGAACGCGAACACATTGCACAGGTATAACCTTGCAAAAGGCTTTGGTATTTTGCTTTTCCAGGTTTTAACTGTGTTAGCTGACCGTAGTTGTTACATCCTTCACTGTCGTTTTCGCCCTGCCCCGTGAGAAGGAGCACGAGGAGGAGCAGTGCCGGGTGCACACGAGCCTCCCACTTATTGCGGGCGGTGTACCGAGAGACACACATTGTGTATAATGTAATTAAACGCCACAATGCTCCATACATCGCTTTGTGTCGGGACAATCGGCTTGTTATTGAACGGCCTTGTAACAATGCAAGAGTCGTGATAAAGCCTTCTAAGGACCGCCCAGAGCAAATGTCGAGCAGCACGATAGAAAAACCTAAAT